GTCGTTCAAGTCGAAAATCAATGTCTAGAGGCTTCATTTGACCACAACAAAGTGAAGATCCGATTTTCAAGGTTTTAGAAGGGAACTCTGTATATTTTATGAGTTTTTTTACCTTTGATGTCAGTGAGTATAAATTTGTTGGATATGAAAAAGAAAATATTAGAGGAAGTTGTCTGGGTCTTTTCGTTTTTGGTTGGTGCACCAGTGCATCGTCAAAAATGTGGAAAAAGGAAAAAGAGAGATGTATCTATATTGTCATCAGATGATAATCAGCTGCTTTCTAGGACTGTGCGTGATATGTGCATATCAAAATGCTTGCGTCATATGCGAACTAATCCTAAAAAATGACATGTCTTGCATTGAGAGACAATACAACTCAAGTCATAATTGACGAAAGCTAAGGGGTTGACATTCGCCAATGAGCGAAAGTCCTCAAAGAGTACCACTTCACTTCGGTTCACTTCACTTCCAGCCAAGTTAATTTGTGACATTTTAATCGTAATTTTATTATAACGGAGGAAAAGAATTTATATGATAGTAATATTTAACAGACACAGAAATTTTGGAATTGTTAAAAAATGTGCTGTATCAAAACTATGTTCAGATCGGTCCTTTTTCTTCGCTCGATTACATCGTGGAAATGGGATATATCATTCGTTTTTATATAAACATAGGGAAAGTGCTATAGTTATTTGGTTTTTGATGTTAAACATTTTGGATGTTAAATTCATACTTATCTGTGTTGTTATTCATTGACTCATCTTTCCCTAAAGATAATTTTCTCAAGCTACTTTTCATCTCGAAAAAAAATAATAAAATAAATTTCTTCTCATATATCATACGTCAAAAGTGATAACAGGTAACATTATATCGTGTTGTGTTGTGAAAAAAAATAAAAGTACATGGCTTCCTCCATTGATACCGTTTCATCTCCGATACATGAAGAAGCAGAAAAATTAACCGAGTTTAATCAAGATATACGGATAAAAGAAATACGTGATCGACAATATCAACAACGTCCAAGTTTACCACGTCAAATATCGTTTAGTCAACGTAGAGCAACAGTTGGCGAAGTTCTTTTGGTGCTAATACCATATTTGGTTTTATTAGCCGATATATTCTTGTTTTTTGTCATTAGAGGATTCAAGTAAAACGATAATACAATATTTTGAGACAAAATGAAACTGACAATTGAAATTTTCACTTATTAGCGTAGAAGTGTTAATCGGATTTTTGTCATGTTTATTTTCAAGATTCATCAAAAATAGCGTTCAGGAATACTTGTGTGGAATGTCAAAAGTTCAAGGTATCATTTAAATAGTTTTTTGTTAATTCGTCTTCTATAAGCTTTTAGATATTTTGTACAGCTTCCAGTTCAACACAGAAACGTTTTGTATTATTTGTATATTATACTGTGACGGGAATAGGTTAGTGTCCCACTCTCTGTTCTACCATCATCGTATAAGTGTTCTAACTCTCTCTTTCAGGGTTGCCAACTGCAAAAATTCCAGTGTGGGACACATTAATCTGAAATGAGGATCATCATCTTTTTAATGAGGGACCGTTAGAAAGCCTTACTTTACACTAGTTTTTGAGGGAAAACAACTAATAACAGCGATCCTCTTCTTATTCCATTGACTGTAAGTCTATGGTCATACAAAAAAGTAAAAGTATTTGTGTGTTTGTCCGTACAGAGGTGTGACGGACGTACATACATATAGTGACCAGTGAGTGTGACGAACATCATATCAGAGAAGTATTCATAACGCATGGTAGATAGTCCGTAGCGTACACCGACCGAAGGGAGGTGTAAGAGTTGTTTCGACGAACTAGGCCAAACGTTGCCCCCACTCAGGTTTTGTTATCAAGGGTAAGAACTGATAGATTCGTCCATTTGGAACGTCTGTATAGCACATGAAAGCAAATCAAATTACAGAGTCTCGATGAACTACAGAAATTCTGATAAACTTTTCTAACCCGTGAAAAGCTGTAGGAACTACTTCTGTAAACTATGATGGAAAATACGCATGCACTCATCGTAAAAAATATGCATCAATTCTGTAGTAATATCAATGCGTACTAACTTTGTTGGCTTTTTTTCTTTATATTAATAGCTATTATTAATTCGAAAAGCGTTCTCAATATCAGGATAAGCCAGTTGCATCCCATTTAATAATTCGTCAATATTTTTGCTTAATGAGAGATCATGTAACACTAATGGAAATTGTGAAGGAAGGCGACGAGGTAACGTCTCTTCAAATTCAGGCCACCAAGAGTTACCGGCCATTTTTCTGCATCGAACAAGCAGACGAATGATTCACGATTCTTAATGAAAAATATCATCTCTCGACGATAATTAGTTTTAATACCTTCAAACTCCAGTTTAGTGCTATGCCTATCAGCATAGTAGAGACACAGCTCATCTTTAATTTTATCAACTTGAGAATGCAGCGGATGTCAACGAATATTTCAGGAAATTTTCATGCATTTTGGAGACAAGGAAAGTATGGGAAATTCATTCCACTTTAACTAGCTTTTCGGAAAAACCGTTAGTTCGGACAAATATTTTTTCTGAAACTAAAAAGGCTAGATAAAAAATTTTTGTACTAATAGATAGCTAAAAGCGTCTGGATTCCGAATACACATGTTTTATACTTTTGAATTGGCATCATGCGATTAAAAAATGGGTTTTCCTCAGAAGGCGCTAAAATACAGTCTCGTTTTTATTTCGTTTTTTTCTGAGAATTCGCAACTTGTAACAAAACATTTTACGCCATAAATCAAACTATAGTTGGCACTATTTTAATTTGGAAAAAGTGCACTTAAGATTTTTTGCCAAACGTCCGCATAGTTGTCCACTGTGGGTAAGTTAGAAGCTGTCGGCACCGAAATGGTAACCATATTTATTCCAGATGCAATCTGAGCAGATTTTTTCTGTCTCTTATTAGCGCGCTCCTCGACATTTCATCTTCGCTCATATCATCATCTGAATACTTCCTTCCGTTATCTTCAATATCAGACGTAGCATTTACTTGTTGAAGTTTCATATATATCTGCATACCATGACTTAATTGATTCGTTACTGCAGCATGTGATTGTTGAGTTGATTGCTGCATCCTTGGACGGTGCAAAGCATGTGTTTGTAGGTGATTAACATTAGACGTGGCTTGATTGCGATAACCCAAATTATAATGATTTGAAGTAAGAAACTGTTTTTGATGAAATTAAGGGTACGTCAAAAACGGTGGTGAATCATTTAAATAAGAAGCACCACTCTGATCTACATTATGTGCATTATTATTATAAAACATCATTGAATCATTTCCATAGTCCAGATTAAGAGCATTACCCACCATTTCAGATGTTACGGGCTGTCGAAGTCCTAACATTTATCGAAAAAAAGGACGCGCGTTAAAAAACGTGCCTCCTAAAAGTAGACGACAGAAAACATAAATTTACTGTATGTATACACTGTATATGTATATGTATATATATATATATATATAAAACAGTACGTCTTAACTGTACAGAGTTGACGAGGGGAATGAGTTGTAAAACCACTTGGTTCTGCCAAGTAGCAATGCTGTGGATCGGGTAATAGTAAAACATGAAGACACTCACAGACACCC